TTATAATCAGAACCCGGCATTAACATCGGATAGATAGGAGGGAGATTAGTTTTGAGCTGGCTTAGGATGTGGCGTTGCCCACGCTTTATGATAGCTCAGGTGCTATGGGAATGTTTGATCCCGATTAGTGTGGAGGTTCTCAATTGTGCGAAGCTTCGCCGAAATTATTCAGCAGCCCCTAGGTTCGTTTGGGGGGGGCTCAATTGTGCGAAGTTGCACGGCCAAAAAAAATATCTGAGAAAAAGTCAATAGAATCCTATTCTATAATGTTAACGAAAACCTAGGATCCAATCCCGACTATTGATTTTAATTAAAACCTAGGATCCAGATTTGTTTGGGGCCCCCCCGTACTCTAAATAGGGACCCATTTTTGTTTGGTCCCCCTACACTAATCAGGACCTAACATTATAGGATCTTTCGGCGACCCCGTGCCAGCGCCATGCTTCCCAAATTGTACAAAGTCAACCTGTCCAGGACCATAGCATCCTTATGGTGTGTATAGGGGTGAGATCACTAGTTAATTTCTAAGACCTGTAGTCCCCTGAAGGCATCCGATGGCCTCGTTGTAGCCAATGAGCTTTCCTGAGCCCACCAGACAGCACAAAATTCCAAAGACATCGAAATCATGAGCCCGTCTCTGATTCTGTGAGGAATTGTGTACTTTTGCCGGCCCTAGGACTGCTGTCAAATTCATTCCCAGTTTTTGCCAGCCCTCCGCAATCCCTAAACTCGTGACTTACATATGTAGCCGCTCTCGTTGCATGGTGCCCTTTTGAAGCAAAGATTGCCCATGTCACCTGCATCACCCACATGATCTATTCTAGGCCTCATTCCTGGGTCCCTCCTAAAGCCCCAAACACAAACCTGTCAACCCTGAACCCTAAACCTTGAGAAAAAAGACGAGTTTCGCTGCTCTTCTTCATCACGCTTCTGCTGCTCTTCAGAGGCTTGGCCCTCAGCAGACCCGTCCTGGCAACCACCACAACGAGGGTTGTCAAGACCGCGGGACACAGGAAAGACGAAAAGGTAGCAAGTTTTGGAAACTCCGATAAAGGGCTGAGATCCTGAGCTCAAGAGAACGGTCCGAAGACAGAGGCCCGTGTTGGATCCAGGGATTGCTGTGCAAATGACGTTTTCCACTTCAGGGCTCCAAAAATGCCAACTTGATGCTTCACAGGAACAACTAGCAGCCGTCATCACCATCATCTGGCCACAATGCGACACACCGTCCAGTGCATGATGCTCAACTGTTGTGGAAAACATCTTTGCATGAAGACTATCCAGGGCCCGCTACAGCCTCATGACTGAATAGAGACGCAATTCCAAGAAAACGAAAAGGTGCGCAAGACCTGCTTACAGCATCGTAAATCTCCACTGTGCTCTCAAGACATCCCAGGACTTCAATAGAGGGAAGACAAGGCCCTCTTGTCTTGCCCCTGCTACCTCATGCTCAACAGTGCCTTCAGACTTCAGATTTCCTTGAAGTGTTCTATCAACAGCAGTCAGCCACCACTTTGACCCGCATACGCCCTTAGGTTAGCCTCTGCTTCAGCTTCTTCCGCAGGCTTCTCCGGTGCAGGGGCAGGGGCCTCCTCCAAGGTTTAAGCAGGGAGTCAATAAGCTGCTCCAAAAACTGATGGGCTGATGAGTAGGAAACGTCAGCACTCTGTCGCGCACATGGTAAGGAGGATGAGTCAGAGGGGGCAGAGGATGAACGGGGGGTGCCTGCAGCAGCAGCAGCAGCAGCAGCAGCAGCAGCAGCAGCAGCAACTGTTGCGGTACGTTCAAGAAGTTGAGCGGTATTGCCCTGAGTCAATGAATAAGCAAGTGACACTGGGCAGACTCATGACTGCAAGATTTTCAAGTTGCACACCCGCAGTGCGTGGAATAGATTCTCTTTTGCGAGAGACTGTGAACCTAGCGTCTGTAGGTAAACAGCATGAAAGAATGAAGTTGAATCACTATGATTTACCTGGAAAAAGGATCCGCCATTGGCATCAGAGCAAATTACATCCCTACACAAAATACATGTTTCTATAAGTGGCGTCAGGCCAAGACTTTGTCCAGATGCTAGCTGTTGAGTGTACACTACCATAGTTCCTACGTGTAAAGCCCCAAACAGCTAAAGAGCTAGGAAGCTACCAAAGTAGCCCACCGCGTAGGAATTCCTCCTAAAAATGCACTGAACCATGGTTTCTGAAAATAATGGCCGTTTGAGAAGGGACCTCGTAATGAGGAATAAATGTCCTTGGGAACATATGCAACAGTCCTATCAGTCTTTATGTGGTACCGATGTGGGACTTCTTTCTTATGATATCCCTCAAAGGACATCCAACATTGACACTTACCTTACCAAGTTGCCTGAGAAATCCAAGGCTTTCAGCAAAACCATAATCAACAGAATCCCGACTGCACGCGGGTCTCTCAAACCTCGTTGGATTCACCCCGTTGAAAGGGACCCAGAACTTTCAGAAGCAACTCTTCATGCCCCTTGTAGTGGCACCCCACATAGCATCGAAGAGCATCCCTTAGCCCAAGCCCCTTCTAAAGGGCCCCGTAAAGCCCCCCATTTGCATGGGTACCTTGTTTGTTGAATGTCAAGGTTGAGGGGCCGAATTAATGAGATTGGAAATCTGAAGCCTCAAAGTAACGTTTGAATTTAGAAAGGAAAAAAATTGAGGTCTCTAAGGATCAAAGGAAACTAGCTGAGTAATAAGGCGCGGAAACTCTATCCCTCACCAGCCGACTTAATCCCTATAATCCCCCCTATACTCCCAGTTTCGGTTTCATTCTCGATGTTCTGTTCCATTTTATTCTCCCTCAACCCTAAACCCCTCAACCCCAAGACCCTAAACCCCAAACCCTAAACCCCTGGACCCGAAAGGTTCCGATTCTTGGATCTCTAAACTCAAGAGCTTGAAATTCCAGCGTTCCAGCTGGTACCAACTAATCCCCTCCCCTTATATCAAAACCCCCCACCCCCCTAATATTAAATACGCCCATTATGTGGGAAATGAAAGAAAGCTGGGAGTATTTAATATTAGGAGGATGGGGGGGGTTTAATATTAGGGGAGGGACTAGTCACTCTGCCTAGCCTTCAGCAATTTCTGTGGGACCTAGTCCGCTGAAGACAGGGACCTGCTTCAGTGGGATTGTTTAGTTACTCGTGCTGCTGTTTTGCGCAGTACTAGGAGTACTAGAGCCACCAGGTGGACACAGGTCCCGAAAAATTGTTTAGAGATAGCGCTTCAAACCGGTCCGCTAAAATTGTGTTCGGAGGGGGGTGAAGGAGGTCCCATACTAAAGCCAGCCCACATCGAACCCTAAACCCTAAATCATCCTAAATCCTAAGCCCTTTCCCTTCGCCTCCGCTTGCGGTGCCGGCGCCGGAGGTGGCGCCGGGGCGCCGCCTCCGCGCTGCGCCACGGCGCGGGTGGCGCGCCGCAGCACGGAGGCCTCGAAGGTTGTGGCTTTGGATTTTTATGCTTCTATAGGGATTATATAGGGATCATATAGGGTTTAGGATTTAGGGTTTAGGGTTTAGGGATGTTTTTACGGTTTTCCAAATTTAGGGGTACCCCAATAATGGAGAGAATAAAATGGAAAAGAAAATTGACACTAAAATGGAAACTGAAGGTGGGTTTATAGGGATTTGGGGGGTTCCCAAAATTAGGGGTACCATTATGGGGGGTCCCTATAATAAGGACTATAGCATTTTGGGGTCTATATTGGGGTCCCCTAATTTTGGGAAACTATGATTTAGAGCTCAGGCAGCTTAGGAGTTAGGAGGATATGTACGTGTATGTGGGGCATTCATTGTTAGTTGCGTGCAGGGCTTGTCAATCTGGGAGGGAAGCATGTTTGTTTTACCCGTCCCACCCCCTCCCCCTGTGGTGGTATTTTGTGGTTGGACTTGGGTCTTCGGGATCAGAATACATGAGATAATATGTGAAGAAAGACATACTTAAAAGTCTAATGGTTTCCTTCAAGAGAAATTATCTAGACTATGTGAGGTCCCTGGAGCTTGGGGAATTACAGAAATTATATGGAGATGTGTAAAGATGGGGCCCGTTTGGGAACTTAGGGATATGTGGGAGTTGCCGAAGATCTATAGGCTGCCATAAAAGATATGAGCTATAGTCTAATTCCTAGTATCCCCCTGAATAATCCCTATAGTAGCCCCCTATATAGTCTGCTATAGCAACCCCATATAACCCCACTTTAAGGAGTTTAGACTATAGCTCATATTGGGTCACCTCAAACCAGTTGCTTCGTGCCTGCACTCTTCGGACTGGGATTTCTCAAAAAAGGGGACATGTTTTTTATGGTGAATACAAGGACTACAGTATCGTAAGAGAATCAAACCCTAAACCCTAAACCCTTGCAGTCTCCCATTTCTCTACAGCAACAGCACCACTTGAAGGTTTACACAGAGCAAATCAGAAGCCGGGCAAATTGAATGAAAGGTTCACCAGCTGCCGAACATTTAACCTTTTAGACTGAAGCGCTGCAGCTTTGACAGTATTGGCATAGATTCAAGGGTCCTATCGAAACTATGCTTTTAAATGGATTCTGTGAGAGTCGGATTAGATGGGGCAGGGGTTGTGACCCACGCACGAATTGCACCTTTTCCCAGGAATACACAAGAGTACGTTATCCCGGCATCCAGGGTTCTATGCAAAGGAAAATTTATAAAGATTGGCAGCAGGCCGCCGCTGTGACAAATCTTCAGCATGGGAATTCCCTCAATTTAGGCCTTCCGGAATCCTAGGGATGTACAACGAGGATAGTTTGTTGCAGGTGCTAGGGGTTGTGTAAGGGCGACGACGGATGACATGATGACATGGAGAAATTCCCACATAACAAATCACAAAATTAAAAGTCGATTGCAGGTGTGAAGGCTGTACACGAATTAGCTTCCGAGTTGTGTCGGCGAAGCATGCGCCTAGCAGGCTACCAGTCACATGAAGCTGCCTCTGTGGGCAAGCTGTCTCTTAAACAAACTTGGGGTAGCTGTAGGCCCATGAGGCAAACTGCTGAGCAGGGTCTTGGCCAGTCAGCATCTCTGCGGCGATCTGTCCAGCGAAAGCAAACATTGCCAGGCGTCCGTTGTTCAGCTCCTTTGTGACCAACTCAGGCGTTTGATTCCTAAGCCCATCATAGCTGCTCGGTTCTTCATCTTGATTCCAGGTCATGATCTCATGCGCAGCGATAGCGCAAAAAAGAAGACCGGCACCGTCGGAACCCTTCGTGTCGCTGAGCGCCGCCAAGCCACTCGGAACGTTCTCAAAACCGGGAAACTTCACATAACAGGCGAACAAAGATCCGGTGGCAGCCATCATAGCGAATCGCCCATGCTTCAGTTCTGCATTGCGGAGGTGGTAGAACCCTGTGGGATCACCTTCGCCAGGAAATGTCATAAGCTGGCTGTTGCAAAAGTTCAAAGGATCGTAGAATCCCCAAGGCTGACTTACGCCTGGCTCGTCAGCAAACACTAGTTGGCTTGACCCTTTCTCCTTAGAACCTTCAGAACCCGCAAAGCGAAATCTCCCGGCGCTATCTTTCTCAAGCACAGCGGAACGGGCAATCTTGCACCGGCCCACCACAGCGCCGATTGTGATCAAGCTAGTTGCAAGCACCGTGATGGCAGACCTGTCCATGGATTCGCCCGTGCTTTTGGCATGACTGAGTCGGCGGATAGGCACATAGCTTTCCATCCTGATGGCCTTTGACTGGTTGATAAAGGTTGGTGCCTCCCAAAGCCAAAGCCCAATGGCAAAGCCCATGAACAACAGTCCGAAGTTGCGCACGTTCCGCATGGCGCAGGCTTACTGTGCAAGGACTGGTGATGCCAATTGATCCTCCTTCCCTGAGCCACAAATCTAGACATGACAGCGTGTCCACATCAAGCAGCAAAGCTCTCTCAAGGCTCAGCCTGCGGAGTTCAGAATTGGGCTGGTATGTCTCACAAGTACACTCTTGTTTCTGGAATGGGCGCTTCGAACAGGTTGTACTCATACGGACAATTGCGGGCCGAAGGTTAGCACATTCCCATGTGCGAGTCTGAAACGCTGTCAGCCGTTGACAGCAACAAGGCCAGCAAGAAATTCTCTGTCACACTGGGCTACTAGCACCAAAAGAAGAAGCTGCGCATTCTGTCAAGCGAACGCCAAAAATGCAACAGGCACCCGGCGGAGCCTCGTTCTGCTGCTTCCTGCGAAGTCAACCAAAGGAGCGAGCATCCAGCCACAATCCCTCTTGCCAACATATGAGCGTATGCCCAATAGCATTGCCATATGAGTCACAATCTAAGCTCCTAGCATCCCCCTTAATATGCCCGATGCTACTCCCTATCTAATCCCCTATATCGCCCCCCTTCAAGGAGTCGACTATAATAAGCCAATGCCCAGTAGCATTACCATATCACTACTACTTTTCCTCGGAAGCAGGGATCCCTTGGAGATGAGACCCCCCCCCCGGCAAACGTTCAAACCACCCGCCCCCTAATATGAACTATCCGTTGTGGTATGTTGCAATAAATTGTATTATATTGGGTTGCCTAAATCTTGAATATTGCTTGTGGTATATTAAATTGGACCCATGTAAGCCCTAGTAAACTATAATCCTATTATGGGGCCGCAGAAGATACCCCTAATTTTTGAAAACCCTTATCCCTATAAACCCGTACACAATCCCAGTTTCCACTTCATTTCCATGATTGCTTCCAGTTGATTCTCCAGTATAAGGGTTAACATCCCCCCATTAAATCTTGTGTATATATATATATACATACCTACATAATAACCCCTCCCTTTAAAAGGACCCCAAATTGTGGGAAACCCCCCAAGTGGGTTTAGCTCCTCATCTCCAAGTGAGCTTGCCGTAGCTCCAGCAGAACTTGCTCGGCTGTCTGCACCTAAGCTAGACCCTAAACCCTAAACTGCGTGGGGTTAAAAATAGGGGAATGTCGGGGTATCTAGGAATATATAGAGCTGGGGTAGACCCCCAATAATAAATTAGAGCTTAGGGTTTAGGGTTGACCCCCAATCATGGAGAATCAACTGGAAAATGAAATGGAAACTGGGGTACATCTGGGTTTATAGGGATTAAGGTTTCGGTACCTTTTTAGGCGTCCCTATAAAAATGGTGATAGTACTTTGGGGTCTATATTGGGGCCCCGTTATTTATGGAAAATACCGACTTCAGCCCGTCGATCAGTAACACAGCTGGCACTGACCCTCGTCCGGGCACCGCACCCTCTGTGTGATGTTCCTGGGCTGCCATGCTGTTGCTGTTGCAGACAGGTGCATGCGATTTAGTGCCAGGGTCAATGCAGCATGACAAGACCCATGGTAAAGGAATTCGTATCCAGTAACCCAAAAGTCATGGCCAAAGCGCTTGAGCATTGCCGCATGCAGCTCAACAATGGCCCTTCCCGGATTTTCATAGCTGTAGTAGCTGCCTGGCGGCGCTGTGGAACAGGCACTTGCAGACTCAACCGGCAGGAGCTGGCTGATCCACGCGAGTCAGCTCATTCATGTGAAGCCCAAAAGAATTACATGCTCCTAGCATTCAGAGCTGGAAGTAGCAATGTCTGCTCACCATAGCTCTGTGCGCAACCTTCATCACATTTTTTCTTGTGGTCCTGCCTGGTGCACGCTGGGCACTGTTGGGGGAGTTGTCCAGCAGGAGTAGCGTCAGCGACAAGATCACAATGATGGCAAGCAGCACAGAGGGACTTTTCAGCCTTAGCCAGTGAGTTGTTGGCAGCTAGCTAGAACATTGGCGTAACGGTCGAATCTACTCCCTTGGATCCATATTGCAAAATTTGTAGAACAACACCTCGGTTCACCAAACATGTCTGAGGACCGCATGTGTGCCGCTTAGCCATGCATTGACTGCCAAGACATACAAACCTACTCACAAACAAACACGGTCAGCTCCGGCCCCGTTCCCTAAATGATGAGACTCTCTTTCAGGAAAACAGGTCTCCACAATAGGTCCGGTACCACCAAAGCGCGCGCACAGCCATCTGCCCATCGTTCGCCACATCCGCGGCTACAGTTCTTTGGGCACAGTCATGCGGTGCTTTGTCTGTCTTGCAGCCTAGGATCAAGTTGAAGAATGCAGGCTTGGCATCTAGTTGTCCGGGATTGCCGTCCGAGGGGAGGGTCAGGCAACGACTCTCGAGTCATGAAAAGAGGATGGTTTGGAATGGTAACACGGTGCTCGAACCACTGATGTCTTCCAGCATGCATCGGTGAGGGGTGCAGCTTGCTGTTTGCCGCGTTCCGTGGAATTGGCAGTTGCAAGCTGGTTTAGACTTTGGCTTCTTGAGCAAGAGGTACCGGCAGATGGTTTTGCTTGAGCGCACAGTGCGCAGCCCAAGCAACAGGACCGATAGCACATGCACCTTGATGACTGATGCGAAGGCAACAGCAACAAAGCTGCATTGGCCTTCTGTCTGTCACAGTTGTCTCGCTTGCAAATGCTTGCCCCATCGCCAGGCCCTGCCATCAGCAGTCGCTAGTCAGGTGCTCTGGAACTCTAGTACTGCAAGGTATAGGGTACCTTCCGACTCTCTTCATGGGAGACGAAAGCAGCTGAATGAAATGCGCGTTGTGCTTGGTAAGACGCTCGCGGTGGTTTCAAAAGAGACATGGAAACAGCGAAGTGAACCTTCCCAGCCAAACTCTTGGAAACCATGAAAATTCCAAAAGGCGTTTATTTCTTTTTTGTTTAATGAGTTAATGAGTTTCCAAATGTTCGAAAATCTTGAAAACTTAAAACGGTGTTGATTTCAGTTGTTTCGGATTTAAGAATGTTGTTCCAGTATTCAAAGACCTCCAACATGTTGAAAACCTTGAAAAGCTGAGAATGCTCAAGGTTTGCAGTTGTTCGAAATGATATCTTGAGAACCTGCAAAATCCTGAACTTCAAAAGGCTTCAAATGTGCAAATGCTTCCAGGTTTGCAGGTTTTGCTACATCTTTGATAATCTCGAAAAAGGCTTCGAGAAGGTTGCGTTTCAAGTGTTCGAGATTTTTGGTGTCAAGATTTCTGTGAATTTTGAAATTCTTGAGAATATAAAACGAAAACCCGTACACATCCCAAAACCGCACCAAAATGGAAGATAATATTAAGTCTACGCGCTAAACACTCTAAACACCCTAAACCATATGATAGCTTAGGATCTCTGGTTCACTCCTTCTTGCTGACTACAAAATCCTGGAATCCCCCAGCTAGCGCTTGGCGTTTCAGGGTAACTATGACCCAGTTATGAACTGCACTTACGCCCGCCTAATTATAAAGCACCACAGTTTACAACTGGAGCTACACTTGGGTTATAGTGATAGCAGCCCTGAACTAGCTTCCCCGGCAACCCCCAAATAGTAAACATACCCTTTTTAGTACCGTCCAGCTTTAAGGAGGAGACCCCAAATAAAAGGAGACAAGGGTACCACCGGGGTACTACTGGGGGTCCTAGTAAACCTCCAAGTAGGGAAAATCCCTAAACCCTACACCCTAAACCCTACGCCGAAACCCTGAACCTGAACCCTAAGAGCCAAGCAGCCTCCCCTTTGGACGGGGGGCCGCAGCGCAGCGGGCTTGGAGCCAGAAGCTATCAAACAAGGACTTGGTGTTTGCTTTTCTTGGTGGGGCAGGGGCGGGGTTGCGGTTTAAGATTTAGGTTCTTGAGGCTTGGCGTTATATATACGTATGTACTTATATATATATATATATATGGT